AGTGAGAGTCACATTTTGTAGTGTTTCTTTCACTTTATGCTGTACCAAACAGTATTCTGAAACCACTAAACCAGCTGTTAAAAAAAAACTTTTCTTTTATTAGCAATTTCAAGCTGCACCCCTAAATGCTTTCACTGATGTGAAATTTTATGAATGTCCATTTTGCATTTCGAATGTGATGTAAAATATGTACATTTCTTGAAAGAAAGATATAGCAAGCATCTTCCTCACTTCTCAGTAAATTAAGAATTTTAAGATTAAAATATAAATAAAATTCATTACCAGTAGAATACTGGGAGCTCTTCTTGTGATGAGAGAATTCTGAGTGATATGAATTGTAACATTTGCATGGGAGAAAATATGATCCATGGTCTGCTCGAAGGTCTTATCATTAAGCAAATGAAAATCATATTTTTTTTTTTTTTTTCTTTTTTTTTTTTTTTTTTTTTTTTTTTTTTTTTTTTTTTTTTTTGGGGGCGCCAGATGTTCAGAATAGTTTACATGTCGATTCATCAAAAATCTTGACAACTTTAAAAAACAGTATCCATAATAATAAGGAAGAAAGAATAACATCCTTACAAAAGCTTGGTTTAATATTTGATTATAGCACATAAGGGCTATCAAGCTAAAAACGATGGATGTCTTTGTGAAGGACTTTCTGGGGGAAACTGGCTCGTATTACACTAGAAAAGCCTGGAATCTATCTTGAAATCATTTTAAGCCTTAAATTGATTAAGCTTCTATGAAAATACCTTGGCAGCTTCACAACGGCTCATTCATATTAAAATTTGAGTGTATTTCACAGGATAAAAATTTGTTATTTAAATTTAGTGTGGGTGCAATATATTTTTCAAAACTATTCAAAACAAACTTATATACGCATTAAAAATTCTGAACATGCAAAAACTAAAAAAAAAAAAAAAAAAATATCTTCCAGTAGGTCTTTTGTTTAAATATACTACATGATACTTTTTCCATCCAAAGATCATGTAAATAATTTATATTTAAACAGATTCCTTTCAGATATACAATAAAATAATACAAGTTGTCACATTTATTACAAAATGTTCGTAATTTTAAATTAATTAATATTCATTTGAATATATATAGAGAAATAAATATTAATTATTTTTCTAATACAATGATGAAATTAAAGCACAAAACATTAATTATTAGATGAAATGTATTGGAAATATTAACAGAATGAATTTAAAACTGAAATCTCATATGTTTCTCAGCGATTTAAAATAAACATAAGAGTATACTGAAAAGCTATACATGTTAAAATGTTAATATTTGGTATGTATTTAGTTAGCATCTGTAGTATTTTCAGAAAAATTTTCTCTGGTTCTGAAATTCATGTTGCACAGGCATGTTTCAATTTATGCGCAGAAATTTACTGAGCGTAAGGGGCGTATCTTTGATGTGACATCATCTCACACGTAGTTTGGATGTCACGTGACCTCCCTGCGCGTTTGGGGATTTAGCGCTGACCGATTCAAAATGGAGGACGACGATCACGTGATCCAACAGGGCGGGAAGAGGGTGAGTCATTCAAGATGGAGGATGAAAGACCACGTGTTCCAAAATGGCGGACGAAAACCACGTGGTTCGCGCCTCCGCTTGCACCGCCTTTGAATTTGCACCGCGGTGCTGGCTCATCCGCACTCCGCCTGCGAGCTTGCTCCGCCTCCTGTCGCTGAACTGTCCGTTTCACACTACTCTAGTCATTAAATAAATTGTATTAACATCGGGAATTTGGACATAATATACCCCTGCAAATAACCTACGCAGATTATAAACCCCTGCAACCCCTTTCCCCACGAAACAAAATATAAATCTTATACACGACTTTGAATTTCCGTCCATGCAAATCTTCCCACCGCCCTCCAACTCCCGCGAGGAAAATGAAAAATTGGGGCATGTGTTCATTCTTATATATGGCAAAATGACAAATTTGCCCTCATAGAAAGGGCTCATCCGTTCCCCCTTCCCATCCTCAGAGAAATTGCCAAGAAAAAAAGAAGTATTTCACTGTATACATTTTAAATAAAAATTTAATAAAATCGATTATATAAAAATAAACAGAAATTATATTAAATAAAATAAGTACGTACTTAATCAAATGGATTTTTCTTTTCTAATAGTAGTAAGTCTTTTGTGCTTTGAAAATTTTCTTCGTCAACCATTCAATAAATAAGAAGAAGAAATGTGTAGAGGATACATAACAAGTGGATTTCTAGACACATGGAAAAGGACCATTATATGGTACTTGGTCCGCAGAAAAATTATTCCGAGCAGTGCAGAACGTCTGCGTGTGTAGTCGGTGTAAGTACGGTATTTACTACTTTTAAAGTTCTCACAGCGGGAATTCCCACGGCTTTTGAAACTCAAACCACTTTGCGTGATACTGTACGTAACGATTGATGGATGGGCGGCAGATGGAAGCGCCCATAGTCCCTGTCCTGTGTATTATTTAAGGTACATTTATTTTTCTTCCCTAGTAAATGTAAATTCTTTTGTATTAAACAAAGGTCAGTGTCGGTCGGCTGGTCGGCGCCCCTCTCTTAGTCGGCGCCCGCCTGCAAAGAAGGCCTTGCAGGCCCGCTTCCGCCGGCCCAAGGATGTTAGTACAAAAATATATATTTTGAGTGAAATGACAACTAATTATCAAAAGGGGACGCATAGATTTAAATAAATATAATATTGATTATAGCTTTTTAAATTTTGTTAATGAAACAGCAGAGAAAATACAAGCATTAAATAAAAGCATTAGAAAAGAAATGGATAATGATTGACATTCAAATGATGGTGACGAATTTAATGCAAACAATAAAATTATAACGAATGTAGCTAAACCAATTAATGAAATGGATGCTGTTAATAAAAAATATGTAGATAAAGTCATATTTGTTTCAAGCTAAAATAAATTAGATAACCTTCATAATGTAATATTTAGAAAAGTAATTTTTTAGTAATTTTTTAAAATTACAGATAAATTTTGAAACATCAAAAGATAATACAATGACGGAGCCTAAAAATGTGAAATAGAATCTATGTCAGGAGGTAGATACTTACATTCTTATACTTGTTCAACTGTTTTAAAAGATAAAAAAGATGAAAAATTAAAAATACATATAGATAATATAATACCTGTTAATAGAGAACTTAAAAATAACTTTTTAAAAGTAGAAATTATGTAAAAGACCTTTAACTCAAAGGCCTTAACCGAAAAGCCTCTAAAAATGATTCTAAATAAAAAGATATGGAAGAATTCAATAAGCTCAGATCTTATCCAAAAACGCTAAAATTAAAATTTAAAGCCGAAAAGCTGTCACATCAGTATTTTCGTGGAAATTTATATATTTTATGAAAATATTGAATTTTGAAAAATGAAGAAAATTTATGTATTTTTATGAAAATATTGAATTTTGAAAAGTGTTGAAAATTTATATATTTTTGTGAAAATTTGAGAGATTTTTCATAAAAGTATTGAATTTTGAAGACAATGAAAATTTATATATTTTCGTGAAGATATGAGAGAGTTTCATAAAAATATTGAATTTTCAAAATGATGAAAATTTATATATTTTCGAAAAAAATTTAAGAATTCTTAAAGGGGGATGAAAGGGAAGGACTGATCGGGTACAATTCTCGGAAGAAGTGTTCCAGATCAGTCCTCTTCACACTTAACAAATGCAAAAGATAACAAGGTAACTGTAGCTTATACAGTAATTAGCCAAACCAAAGATTTTTTTCAACAATTTATTCTTTGATCAGCTCATCTCTAATTCACATGTTAACTAAAAACAGAAAATAGTAACAATAAAAAATTTAGAGCTTACAAAAATAACTTGAAATAATTAAGTAAATGCATAAAATGATAATAATTAAAACTTAATTATGGATTTTCATGTATGCTTTACTTTTTTTTCCCCTAGGTTCAGGCTCTGGTTCGAGCTATATCATTGGAGAAAGACTGTGCTGATATACCTTTGCTCCGTATTAATTTTAGCTGGATTCTACTTACTTATGAGATTTACAGAGATTGAGAGCAAAACACTTAAGGATGAATTGCCTAATACAGAAATGTGGACTTACCCGTATTATGCATACAAGCAAGCTATACTGCAACACGAGTACCAGCCAACGAAGAAATACGTGAAAATCACAAACTCATTTCGTTTGCTTATAAATGAACCACACTTTTGCTTAGAGAGACAATATATGTATCTTATAAGTGTCAGTTCATCGGCAGCTAACACGGAGCGGAGGACAGCAATTCGTAATACTTGGGGCAACCAAACGCTTTTGAATCAAACTAAAGGTGGTATAATCTTCCTATTAGGGAAAGTTAATGATGATAGGAGATTACAGATGCAAATCTACGAAGAAAGTATGCGCCATAGGGATATCATACAAGGTAATTTTGCTGATGCTTACAGGAATTTGACTTTGAAATCTGTTATGGCGTTAAAGTGGTTCTCTTCTTACTGTCCCCGAGTGCGTTTCTTAATGAAAACTGACGATGATATATATGTAAATGCAAATAAACTCTCCCACTTTCTCTACAAGAATCAGAACAAAAAGCGTTGGATAGTAGGATGTGTGAAAACGCATGCTCGTTTACCATTTCAGATGAAGAAAAATGTTCGCATTTCCTCTTTTAATCTTCCAGCGGCACATCCAACATTTGTGGCTGGCGCAGGGTATATCATTTCCAGTGATATAGTAGAAGAGCTTCACGAGGCCTCAGAAAAGCTTACTGTACTGCCTGTAGAGGATGTTTTCATTACCGGACACTGTTCTAAAACAATAGGTGTGAAACCAGAGCATGATTTCAGATTTAGCTGTGGAGAAGCAGTTCAGGATTATTGCCACTTATTTTCAAATAAGTTTACAGGACACCGAGTATCTGCTCAACAGCAAGTAGAGATATGGAAATACGCAAATAATCCAAGGATGTGTAAGAAAAAGCTGTATAATAAAACAGGGAGCTTTAAAGAAAATTTCTGAAAATAGATGTATTTCGAAATAATTCGTAAGAAATCATTTTATTGCTAAGAACATGCGTATCGCATAAAGAATTAACACATTAACCTTTCGGCACTCAGAACACTTGCAACCGTTGTGGATCGATTCAGCTAGTCTTTAGTAAGTGCCCCAAAGAAGACCGTAACAAATTTGTAAGCAGTTTCGGCAGATTACGAGGTGGTTGGTGAGCTCTGAGCTGGTGTTCTATGATATTCCATATCTGCTAAATAGGCTTTATAACCAACCAGTTAGGAGACCGATACAGAACTGAAATTCATCAGTATGTTCCTCAAAACCAAGCAGTGCAGCTCCGACATTTTAACGAGGAGTATTTCTCTGGTAGGAGAGTTCTTATTCGGTGGAGAACACAGATGACAAGAAAAGGTGTAACTGGTCAGCAATGATGCTCATGTAGTCTGGAGATGTCGCGATTTACACTGGTGTTTCAACATTTAGAGAATTTATCCAGTATAGTAGATAATCTCTAAAACTGATGAATAAATTTTAAGCAAATTTGGCACGTATACATGTTGATATAATGCAAAAACAGCAATCACAGTACTCAATCATGATCTTGAGTAAGGATTCTCGGCCCAAGAAGATCTAAGCCAGACGTTGCAAGGTTCGAATAAAAAGCGACTAATAGGTGTGCTTGATCAGCCATACAGCTCTCACAATGCGACTTCATATAGGAAAAGAGGCATTTTATGAGTCCTCGTGACAGTTCTACTCCTGCAGCAAAGATATTTTCAAGTCCTGTAGTATTTTGGGAGAGAGAATGCGGTGATGAGCCTTATGCAGTATTTTACGTGTGTATCATGAGTGCTATATGGCATATTGTTTTCATTAAAAGATTTCATTCAAATCTGCCCATCAGTCCTGAATCAGCCAAATGCGAGAAATTTTAAATTTTGAACAGCAGAATATTATGCAACAATCTCTGATCCCGGGATGCCTAGAACATTGTTCTCTAAAGCAAAATGCCTCAAACACTGGCTTAGTTACGGCCCACCTATTCCTCTGGAGGGGGAAGTACCCTGACACGGCTATCAAGGGGGTGTAAAAAAAATCATGATTTATTTAGAATTTTGAATTCTATTTTATTAAGCACAATCGTTAATGTGTAAACACTGGCTTTCCAAAATTAAGTATAATAACATAATCAAATGTTCCCCCGTTGTTGCCTTTATTAAAATTATATTTTATTAGGCAGTTAGACAACGTATAATTTAATTGATTTTTAATAAAAGGAAATTGAATGTTTATAGTGTATTTAAAATAAATACTTTGAAAAGAATACCATAATTTAATTTTCTTATGGGTTATTTCCATAGGATGAACAAATCTAAATAAATTTTGGTCTATATATATAACCCCGCGATATTTAGGTATCAGTAACAATGTTCGTTTTTAGGTATTATTAACAATGCTCGTTCAACAGCAAGAATATGATATGCTTTATATATATATCAATGTTATGTTGATAGTTTAAAACTGCAATGGGCTTCAAGTACCACTTCCATTTGTCCAATTTTACCCCAAAATCTAACCAACTCTTTATAAGAAATTGCTACACACGCAGACAGATAGGATTATTGTAAAAACAGTAAAAACGTGCTGCAAGGATCCTAATTATTTACTGAAAAATTACTATTGAATTTTTGGACCGAAAACATTACCTCTCTTTCCTACGCATATGTAGGAGGGCGGCAGGTTGAAAATAGAAACTGTGAAATAAATGATAAAATTCTTTTTGAAAGTCAAAATTTGGTGCAATGCCGTAAAGAGCTAAAACTCTGCATGATTTTTACAAAAGACTTTTCTTTCATTTGGCATTTCAGATTTCATCATCGCTTTTTACTGGAAATGAGCTATACACACACGCATCTATATCCATATCTATATCTCTATATATCTCGTATGTATATACATCAGTATCTATAATAACATAAGCATGCTACCATACATTTTTGGATTCTAATTTTTAGCACCTTCTTTTATTTTGTGGCAATTTGATTTTTAATGTTTTTCAATGAAAGTTACTTTCAATTGATTTTTATTCACTATGTATCTTTTTTCTTTCTTCTTTCTGGCTGTATGGGAAAAGCTTTTAAGCTTTTAGTTTACTCAAACAGGGTAAAGTGCTTTACATCGCTTCATTTTCAAATTAACTTCTAATCATAACTGTTAATTCTTCTAAGCTTTATTAAGGTGCCAAGTTTCCTTTATCTTGTGTTAAAAGAGGGATGGTAATTTCTCCTATCATGTTTTTCCACATTTTTTTTCCGGTATTTTCAAATTTCAGTCACGATTTTACCATACTAAGGTTTTCTTGCTAACATTCATTCTTTGATTTTAATTTTTTACCTCCTGCTAATAACTATTTTCTTATTTTATTAAAGGATTTCGTTATATTTTAAAAGCAATAAATTTTTTTCTTGAGCTACTTATGTTTATAACTTAATTTTTTTTACTATTAGTTAATGTCTTAGAGGTTTAGAATAAATTTATTTTGAATTAACAGAAATTAAAATAAAATTTCACTTTATAAAAAAATGAGACGCAAAGAATTGAAGTCTGCTTTTCCTACGAAAAGGGAAAGTTTGAATCCTGGTTAAGAGTTGAACATTTATAATTTGCATGTACAAATATTTTTCCCTCTCTTAATCGTCGGAGGATTGCTTTTTAACCATTGGTCGGAAATGACTAAAGCCATTGTTTAATTTGATGTCTTATGGTCGATAACGTTGGCTAGGCTGCACCGCAAGGGGTAAAAGATATTACATTCGCAGAATGGGGAAAATTATTTCAAACGTCCATGGCTTCTTCGGGATTCCAACCCAGAGCTAAGTGCTATGACATCCGACTCCCCTACCAGAATGCTTGTAGGGTTTCCTTTAAGTTCAACTAACGTATTATTCAAATTTTTGTTATCTTTCCTGAACTCCTCAACTTCCCCTCGCATTTCCTTGCCAGGATGTAAATTTTAAGTGAAGTGAGTATTTAAACGGATGAATCTTGGAGTTTATCCAGAGCGTGTTTTCGCTAGCATAATTGTCACGCCTGTTAGGTTTGTTGAGTCAACCTAAGTTAGCCGTAACTTCAAGTGCTAATCCAGAGCTGCTCTATTTAGATTTGAATTGATTTATTTTATAACGTTTAAGTTCCATCGCAAGTTGTCAGTGTTATTGTAAAGCACGAAGTACATGCCTTTCTGTTATAAGGTGAAAATAATAAAGGGCTATTTTCACTCTTCTTCTGTGCTGGTATTCCTTCACGTCTGTGAGAGAATTCGTCAGGTTCATTTGTAGGATCTAGCTTAGTTTATGTGGAAAAGAAAAGTTAGATCTTATAAGCTAACAGTGCAGGTATGAGCCCGAAGTGGAGGTACTGAAAACTGTTAATCCAAAACATCCGTTTGAAAGAACACTGGGAGGGGATGACTGGTCGAGGCACTGGATTCCCTCCTTCGATGACACTCGTTTAAAAGTAGGATGGAGCTCGGAAAACTCTTGTTATGTATCATACAGGTATCCAAGATCTATGAATATTCACAGATATTCTCAGCACTCAGATATTAAGTATATGAAACAATAGAAAGAGTCTGTCTCGAACTACTACGCTGCATCGTGTAATATCCTTCAAAAATTAATTAATAAAGCCGCATGTTACTCATAAAAATTGTTTAAGAAGCACCATTTATTTGTGTTAAACATAGAAAATGCCGTGATTCGCAAAGCAAATATTTATTACTGAGATATGCAGAGATACACGCAGAGTTACATGCAAAGAATTACAAGCAAGCAGAGATAAGTACTAGCAAGCAGAGAAAACTTTGGAACTTTGTGGTTATACTGGCTTTCAGCAGGAAATTAAAGTCCTGCTCTTGCCAGTTCCTGATGTGATCCCATGTGGGGCCTGACAGAGTAGAAACCTGAAAGAAATTTTCTCTCGTGGAGGTAGAAGTGTGCTGGAGAGAGAAAAAGAAGCACTTTGCTCCTGTACTGCTACATCTTGGATGGAATCCGCCAAGCAGGGGCCGGAGAAAGAAACTTCGGATGACCTGTGTAGGATAGCCCGAATACTAACTGTTCATTCGTCGGAGCCAGTCACGTGGGAGGTCACCCTCCCAGAAACTGACCCCGATCGATGCTGCTTGAAAACCAGAAAAACTGGAACTTAGAATTCTGAACTCAAGAGGTGGGCGGCAAATGGGCGGAGGTTTTTGTCTTCAGCCAGGATTTCGTAGATAAGAATGTCCGTGGAATTAGCGGGATTCACATTGATAATATTATTAAAAAAGTTGTTGTTTATTCTGCTGAGGTAGTCCTGAATAGTATCTATTTTCAAGTCGGAGTGGAGAGTCCTATTCCGAACATAGTAAGGAGCTTTTGTGATGATTCTTAGCACCTTATTTTGAAGCACTTGGAGTTTGCTAATTTCGTTTGCTTTGTAGTTTGCCCAGGCTGGGGAAGCATACGTGAGAATGGGTCGGATTACAGTTTCATAAATCCTCTTTTTCAGTCTGAGGGTGAGGTTTTCATTCTTTAGGAGAGGGAAAAGCCTGAAAATGATCCCGTGTGCTTTTCCGCTTACTCTAAGCATATGATCCTTCCAATTGTAGTTCTTGTTAAGGGTAACTCCCAGGTAATTAGCTTTATCAACTGTAGGGATGATTTTGCCAAAAAGTTTAACCTCAGTTCTGACCCGTTTCCTCTGTCTGCGATTTCGAATGAGTAGAATCTTGGACTTTTCTGGCTGAATGCACGTTTTCCAGCGACTGCACCACCCCTCAATAGCAGGGATTTTCGCCTGAATTCTTGACAAGGCATACTCTGGGTTTAGAGACTTGGTGGCTATCGCTGTATCATCAGCGTAGCTGGCTGCGAGAACATTTGTATCCTCGGAAAAGCAAGGGAAATCGTTGGTATAGATGATGTAAAAAAGCGGGCCTAAAATTGACCCTTGAGGAATACCTGCGTAAATATTTTTGACACATGAAGTTGCATTTCCAACTCCAACGGTGCAAGTTCTATTTTCAAGGAAGGACTTGATAATGAGTATCAGATTTCTGGGGAAACCGAGATGAATTAGCTTATAGATTAGCCCTGGATGCCAGACGCGGTCAAAAGCCTTTGCCACGTCTAGCATCAGGATAGCAACACTCATTCTGTTGTGCATAGCCGCGCCGATGAACTCCGTGAGCCTGACTAACTGCGTTGTGGTCGAAAGTCCTTTCCGGAAACCGTGCTGGTGATCAACGAGAAAGTCCAAGTTTTCTTGCATTCTGAGATAAATAATACGTTCCAGAATCTTGCTTATGGAGGACAGCAGGCTGATGGGTCTAAAGTTTGCCGGGTAATCCTGTGTTTTCCCTGGCTTAGGAATCATCAGGATGCTTGCTTGCTTCCAGAAAAGCGGGAAATAATTTTGATACAAACATGCATTATGAATGTATGTATCAAAATTATTTCCCGCTTTATGAGAATGCCTGTTAATTTGCATACGGTCTTAAAAGGCATGTTTTTCAGCATCTGGTTCGTGATCTTGTCCTTTCCTAGAGCTTTCTTTAATTTAAGTCCCTTAATAATGTTCTGCACTTCGTGCGGCGTGGTTAGTTTGATAGAAGGTTCCGTAGAAGGGGAGTGCAGCCATTGATCGTTAAGGTAATGAACTTGAATGTCCGAACTATGATCTGAGGGAAAGGAATTTGGAATGAACTGTTTAGAAAGGTGTTCCGCAAAAAGTTCCGCTTTGTCTTGATCGGAGTAAGCAAATCCGTTATCGCATTTAAGCGGTTTTCTGGCAGAGCAGGGGCGTTTTAGTGTCCTTGTATGACGCCAGATGGCGCCAGGTTCGTCGTTGATCTTTTCCATCTTATCCTGCCATAAGCTAGAACGATGGTCCTGAATCTTTTGCTTGATTTTCCTATTAAGCCTGTTAATTTGAGTTTTGATAGCAGGATCCCAGGTGAGATTAAATTCCTTTCGGAGATGATTTCGAAAGCAGATTATTTCGCGAATATTGGCAGGAAGCGTGTGCTCATGTCTGACACGGTCAACCTCAGTCGTAGCTAGGGACTTAGCAGAATGCAGGTACGAAGTAAAGTCTGTTATAGCACGTTCAATATCCGAAGTGCTTTGTAACGAGTCACAATTAAAATCAGTGGTCATCAAAGTATTATGATAAAGATTCCAATCAGTATGCTTAATTGGCGGTAGGTTCTTAGCATTTTCCACTCCAAGGTAAGCAAGCACAGGTACATGATCAGAAGACATGTCACATGTTACCGTAATAGCCATAGGAATATTGAACGTCGTAATAAAAATATCCAGAATGTCAGGCCGATGGTTGAGTATATTTGGCCTATAGGTAGGCTCATCCGGCACATGCAGAGAAAGACAGGGTAATTACACACAAAATCATGCACTATGCGTCCATTATAATTCGAGTTGCGGCATCCCCAGTCGAGATGCTTGGCGTTTAAATCGCCACCTAGAAAGGTGGGGGAGTCTGAGTTAATAAGTCTATCCAGAATTTCAGCACTGAGCTTGTTCCCAGGGCGGTTATACACCGCACAGAAAGTGACATCCCCAATGTTTTGGTAGATTCACCATCACTTTAACACTTTCCATTCCATCACAATTTTCTGCACTTTTCAGATATGAATCAAATGTCCTTTTAACATAAATGAGCACTCCGCCACCACGGTGGTGGAGTCTGTCACTACGGTAGCTGAAATAATTGGCTATCCTTAAGGAGTGCGAAGGGTTAGCATGGGTTTCTGTAATTAAGCAGATGTCTACGTCATTTTGCTGGATAAATTCATGAAGTTCCGGTATCTTGGAGGTAACGTTCTGCGCGTTCCAGAGCAGGATCTTAACAGGAGAACTTTGCCGGGAGGTGGGATTATCCATGGTTGGGGGAAGCTGGCCTGACTGTGTCCTCTATCATAGAGGCGGTAGGAAGTGCCTTCGCTACATCAGCAAACATAGAGATGGCTGTTGTGAGCTTTTGAATTACCGCATTAGCTTCGTCGAGCTTTGCTTGAAGCTCACTGAGTTGTGGGAAGGTTGCTTGTGGCGCCATCTGTGGGGGAGTAGCATTACTATTGTTGACTACTCTATCTGCATATGATATGCCTTTTTGCACAAAGGATGAGCGAGGCTTGGGGTAGAACGAACAACCTTTAAAACTGGCAGTATGAGGAAGTCCGCAATGACAGCACTTTGGTGGCACATCCTTGGGCTTGGTGCAGTCACGAGACTCATGCCCCTGACCACATTTGACACACCGTGGTGCGTGACG